AAAAAAAAAAGTGCAAACTAAAGCCGATGCGTCATTTACTGGTGAGGCGGTTTTATTTTTTGGAGGCGTTGCTGCTGCACAAGTACGCTACTTTTTAAAACAACGCAAGTTGTAATTAATCACATGTAGCACTAAAAAAAAATCTGAAAATGATAAGATTCTCATGGGATGACATCTTTGAGTTTCACCATGCATTCCACCACCAAAATGTAAAAAAAAACTGCTGTTAAATGATTTAATTTACTAATCATTACACTTTTTGAAACCACATACAGTTATTTTTATATAGACTACAGTAAAACTCTAAATAACATAGTTAGCACACTTCTTATAGTAGAAAAGACAACATCTTTATTTTGTAGTAATACAAGTTAATGGTTAGTTTGTTGGGCTGTCTGCTCATGTAGCCAACATGTAGTTTGCTGCTCGACTCTTTATACTGCTTGTAGCTTTGACAACCTTCATTGGAGTGATGGGTGGTGCTTCTTTACTTTCCATATTAAAACTGCTCATGTTTTTCTGGAAGCAGGTGTGCTACTTTATGCTTCACTTGGCCAGAGAAAATTGGTTGTTCTGCCAGTTTTTCTGGCATCTCATTAAAAGGTCTTTGGACCAAAGGAACGCTACGGTGGAAACTCCAGCGGCTATAAAAGCAGAACATTTTAAAACTTTGTCTTTCCTAAATACCTTTGATTCCAAATGCCTACTGAACTGAAATGACAATTTTTTTTTTTTTTTTAATGTTGAGTTTTTTTCTTGGGGGACAATTTTTTTAAAAACCATTGAAGTATAGAACATACATTATTTCAATCATACAATGTTTGTTTTTTTTTACCAGAGTTATTTCCAAATCTGATGTAGAAAATAAATAAATAAAATTGTACAGAGACGTATCTTAACTACTGGTACCGGATTTGTTGATTACAATATATGTTTGTAATCAACAAACATATATTGTAATCAATATATGTTTGAGTATTTCTTGAAACAATATGAAAATACCTCAAACTCAATTAGTCATATAAAATTCAATCTCCCGAATACAACAAGTTCTCTCAGGTATTTTTTTTTAATTTGCTAAAAAAAACAAAAAAAAACACTTTTATTTCTTACATTATATGAATTTAAAACCACAAACTTCAATGTACTTTTCTGAGATTTTATGTGACAGCTCAATACATGTATTGCATAATTGTCAAACAAAAGGAAAAATCTGACTTTGTTTCATTCCAAGAAGGTGAACCTCAGCTTTGCTAAAAAGTTTCCCTATCATGATGCTAACACCACCATCCGTCATCAAGGCTATGGTCTGTTTAGTATGATATCCAATGCATTTTTCTGCCATACATTGCATTTTGCATGTAGTCCTCAAAGTTAAATTTTTGTTTGTTTGTTTTGCCCAGGTACATTCTTCCAGCTCTGGTTAGCTGTTACTCTTTTTGGCTTTCCTCCAGTGTTGATTTTCTTCCTCCCACTCTTCCATAAAGACTAGATTTGTGGAGTGCACTGCTGAAACATTGCCCTGCTAATACATTGTTCCTCAAGAGTTGTGGATCTCTGCAGCTCCTCCAGAGTTACCGTGGGCATCTTTCACTTTTGGCTTGAAAGATGTTCTATTTTGAAGTTTATTTTATCACTCAGCTCTTCTTTAATCTTAATCAACACCTTATTCCCCACCTGTCTGTTGTGTTCCTCGATCTTTATGATGCTGTTCGTTCATTAACGCCCTGTAACAAACCCCTGAGGCATTCACAGAACAGCTAGCGCTCCGTCTGTACCCAAAGAAGGACGGAACGCAATTAACTGCACTGAGAGAGAAACGTGCTGAGTGCAGGCTCACATTGCCTTTCAAAACTGAGCAATTATGTGGCGCTTTATGTTGATCTGTCAGGTAAAATTCTCCCATGTACATTAAAAGTTGCAGTTGCAACATAAAGACTTCTCTTTGTGAACGACTATCACACCTCATGACCGTTTTGGCAGATTTATGCAATTATTAATCACTACAACAATGTCAGTTTTCTCTCTGACTTTTTACTGTTCGGCGACAAGATGAGATGCCAAGCTTTTATCTCAATGATCTTCATACCACTCATTCTTTTGGTTCTCCACCAANACCTNGCCTCTCTTTATGATCCGTCAGAGCTCCCACCTGTGATCGCTGATCAAAAGCCCAACCGTCTCTGTGGCGTGCAAGCATGTGTACGGCTTGAGCCTTCATGGGAATTATCCTGTGATTAATCACTGGTTGTTGGCTGGGGTGGGGAGGTTTGCAGGGTGTCTGCATTCACGTGGGTGTTTGTGTGTGTGTGTCCGATTGTTCACAAGACTGTGTGACGTGAAGCCTTCTCAGCGAGAGGACAGGTGGCCGCGATGCGTGGCCTCTTACAGGAATCGCCCCGGTCCTTCTCTTTAGTGGAGGCCAGTGACGGGTCAGTGCATTGGCTTGGATGCAAATGCACATGCACAAACGCATGCCAGTGGAGCGTGACGCAATAACACGAATTGCTGTCTGCGGCGCGGCAATATTCGAGACGGGAGAAAACAGGAAATTTCGGGCAAGTCTCCTCGGCCGAGTGTCATAGCACCTCCGCTTTCCACTCGCTTTTTCTCTCTCCTCCTGCTGCACATGCTTACACAGACAAACACACGCAGTCGCACACACCCAGCCTCACACCGCCAGCCAGTCAGCCAGCCAGCCAGCCTTTCGCTCTTCACTCACACCCTCAAATCTTACCAAGTTCAGCTCTCCCTGCTCAAAGGCAGACAGGAGCAGCACGGCAGCCTGTTAAACGAGTTGAGGGAAGGAGCAGCAGAGTCACAGAGAGAGACATAGACGGGAAGGAGAGAAGGAGGGGAAGGGGGGCTGAATGAGTGAAGGGAGAGCAAGGCAGAGAGAGTCACAGTTGCCCATATGCCGAGAGGAGCATGGGCGGTTGAGCAACCTGGCCCCCACTGAGGCTTCCTGACTCATGGGAGCGTCAGGAACCGGGTCCCAAGAGAGCCTGGAAAACGCTGCTGGATCACGCGTGGTGGGAGAAGGAGGGGAGAGGAAAAAACTCTTGGAAGGGGAGGCAAGAGGCAAGACAAGCTGCAACGGTAGGCTGTCCCACTCAGCTGCTGTGCCGTGATGACGTCGGCGGGCATGTGACCCAGGGTCTCCAGTGACGCCGCATGGAGGGCAGGAAAGAGACGAGTTTTAAAGCTGGTGCCTTTTGGGTTGTGTGAGGGCTCTGCTCGCCTCCCCAACAACCACAGAACCACAGACGTGCGGCTCGGGGTTGGTGTCTGAGGGCGACCTGGAGTGTAAATGGTTAATCGTCACGGGCCAACACCAGTCACAAGGACGGCGCTAAGCAAGTAAGTACGTTCCAACCACACTGGCCAGGCAAGCCAGTCCGACACCATCTGATCTATCCGCAAAAGCGATATTTGCCTCTGCAATTTTTTTTTTTTTTTTTTTTTTCTCTATAAAACCAAACCTGGTCGTTACTTGTGGTCATCCAAATAGTTGATACGTAGAAGCATGTCTTGTGGATGGCTTTTCCATTTTTTTTCCGCCTTCATGACACGCTGCGTGCTCTTGGTTTAGGACGTGTCGAGGGTCACAGAAACCGCAGAGGAACAAAAGTGGGGCTTGCTGGAACCAGAGGCAGCCATGGCATCTAACAGCCTCTTCAGCACAGTGACACCATGTCAGCAAAACTTCTTCTGGGGTGAGTACCTACGTTCGCCGGTCGCCGATTCTCTTCTGGAAACAGGTCGGTTGCGGGGCTTGGGTTCACGGAAAGGACTCGGTGTGGGGGGGGGAGGTCAGCTGCTGAGATGCGGATAACTTCTGTGATGAGGATAAAGATCTTGGACCTGAAGATCTTGAAGGATTTGAATCCAGACGAGGATCAGCCGAGGTCACCGCCATCAATTTTTTGAGCATTTGTGGTGGAAGAGAGAGACCCAACCGTCATCAAGACTTTTTGACAAGTGACCAAAAAAAAATAAAAAATTAAATCTGCACTGAGAGATTCCAGTATTTACTTATATGCAGTGTTTATAAATATTCCTGGAAGAGGGAGATGACATGTTTGTGCAACGTACCCTTAGATTTAGAGAGCGATGCCATTGCAGAACCAAAAACAAAGGCAGGGGTGATATTTTTGACAGACGTAAACAGCCGCTGCGCAAGGGAGTTTACAGTTGAGCATTGGAACAAGATGTGGGGATTACTGGGCTGTGTGTGGGTTTATGTGTCTCTGTTGGGAATACAGTATTGATTAGGCTGCCAAGAGGGATCTGTAATCGCTTCCTAAAGCTGCTCGGTCGCTCTGCTGTCATCAATTAATCTGTTTAGATTTCCTCCAGCACCGCAGCGGCTTGAACCGGCTGACGGAAATTCGGAACTGAGCAAACTCATCATAAACTCGGATTTAGAACAACCACTTCGTTCTGATTTTTATTGGACGTCTAAAAATAATTCCTCGCCTCGGATACTTTTTAATCCCCTCGTTTCTCTGTTTGAAATTAGGGGACAAAAATAACTCCTGAACAGGAGCAGAGGCTACCTGGGAAGGCCAACTTGCATGTTTCACTTAAGACCCCCTCCACCTCCACCCCTTCCTGTAGATTTACTTTAAGCTGCTGTGACAGCTCTTTTACAGACTCTACTTCAAGGTTGCAAAATTAACCATATTGCATGGATTTTTTTTTCCCAAATTGAAGGAAGCAAATATTTCCTCCTGATGCAAGACATGTCTCCCTCCCTGCTCCGCTCCGCAGCTTTCGCTCGCCTTGTCCAAATCAAACGCGTAAAAGATGTTTTGCAGAAGTCGCTCCGTGGTCAGCCACAGCTGCTCCGTACAGAAGCAGGCTGCAGGGAATGTGGAGAAAGAGAAAGAGAGAGAGAGAGGGAGCTTTCTAACAATCACCGCCACCTATTAACGCTCTAACCCCCTCTGACCTTTCGGCGAGTCTCTGGGGCACGAGAGGATAAGAGAAAAAGAGCCTGCTGTGGTGCATTCAGGTGTAGATCTCTGCGGATTTCAGGTAGGGAAGGAGATGAAAGTGATAATTAGTTTAAGTGTAAAGGCATTGCCGCTTGTTATTTAATGTCAGGCCCGAAAAAACTCAGTCCCCCTAATCAAAAACAGAAAAACATGATTTAGTATGTTTAACATATCATGACAATTGCAAGTGGCACCGTAAGTAGTTTTCCTTGAATCGCTTCGTTAAAATTCCCAATGAAGTTTCATCTTCGCTTCGCTTTAAAAGCTTCTAGTAAATCCGTTTAAATAAGATCACATTTTCAACTCCTTCTGTTGTCGTGTTTCGTTTGGTCCAGCGACAGTCTGTTTTCATCAAACCCCCTCCCTTTGTTTGTTTGTTTGTTTGTTTGTTTTTTTCCACTCTGTCTGCACATTGTTGCTTATCGGGGACACTTTTAATTCAAGACCCAGCTTTTTATCCACAGCAATAAACTGAGCTGGCGAAGATTTCTAATTAAGCAAAGACAGAGGATCATTAAAATTTGTCTTGGCACTTTGCGTCAGGCACTTCTCATTAAATCGCTTCGAAATCCATTTTTCTTTTATTATATCTCCTCATACTGGCAGATCAGATGGAGAGGGGCAGAATAATCGACAACACGTGTGGCACCCACTCAACCGCCACTGCCTCTCTGGGGAACATTTAACTGCCTATTTTCTCTCTTACAAACCTAATTACGTATAGACAATTAAGTCATGGGTAGCAATTATCGTTCAATAAAGTCGTGCAGGAACAGTAAAGAATAATAAAAAAATAAAAAAAAGAAGAAGAAAAAAAAAAGGCAAAGGGACCCGAGTCAACACGATCAAAAGCGAAAGGGGTAAATATCCGAGGACTGCATGCGGAAAACTTCACCCCCCCCACCTCTGAAGAAAATCTCGGATAATTTGCAAGGGAAACCGTATATGTATTTGAGAAAGGCAAGCTTCTGTTGCATAAGTATTGCCTTAGATCTAACCACAGGCCTGCTTCTTGGAGACATCTTAAAAGTGAACCAGACATCACCCCTCCTCTCCCATTCCCCCATCCCCCCAATCCCAGCCGGGGAGCGAAGTGAAGCCCACTCATCAATAGGTAATTTGAAAATGCCAGAGGGGGGGAAAAAAAGAAAAAAAAAAAGCGGCAGCGCTTCACTGGCTGCTACTGTGCAGCGGAGACTCTTCCCTCAACTCCGCGCTCAAAGGAACTCTTTTTAGCGTCTCTTAATTGTACCTCTGAGGCAAACTTGCTATTTAATCCCAGCAGGGTCATACTTGATGAAGTAAAAACGCTTCTGTTTGTGTTTGCAAACTGCCCGGGCTAATAAAACCTATTAGCCTACGCTTGTTCCCGAGGGGGAAAACAGAAAGGTTCAGAGTGTTAACGTGATCAGGATTTATTCAGACATGGATTAACCCGCTCTGTAATGTGAGTGAAATGTGCAAGCAGCGATTGGTGGGCTTGTTGCGGGCAAAACTTAAGCTACAGGTAGCTATTACGGTCTGAATGAGAGTGTCATGGAAACACAATAACCTGTGATTTTAATGGGCTGAAACAAGCTATTCCCACTTTTTTTTTTTTTTTTTTTAGGAAACTATCTGTAATTTTCACCCTTTCTACAGCGATGCTGCGAAGGCAACAAAGGTTCGGAGTAGGCATGGGCTGGTTTTCACAGTATATGGAGGGTTTGAGAGTTCTCTTTACAACACAACAGAAACATTCTCTGATCATGTTCCTAATTTTTTAAAGTTCTTGTAAAGCGATACGTGAGAAAGTGCCGAAGCAAGCCTCGATTTATGACTGTATGGGTCATAAATTCATACAGTGACAAAGCGCTGACCCTGACAGACCGGTTGCTGTGCAGTGGTGGTCAGCTGAGTTGAATAAAGGAGCCTACACTTTGCAAGAAAGATAAATTCATCTGTTTGGAAGTAGTTGGAAAAAAAAAAACAGGAAACTAAAAGGGGCAAGAACCCGTCACTCTTGTTGGTTCAGGGTCTCTGGGGATTTTAGGTTCGTAAAATGCCTGGATGTGTCTCGTTGAAGTGAAGTCTCCCTTGTAAGTTTGAGGTAAATTACAAACTTTTTTTTTTCTCTCTGTTTGTGAAATGCTTTTGTGAAATGAAAAAAGTCTCCTGAGTTTGGGAATCAAATCCCAGGAGGACTTTGAGGCACCTGCTCTCCCACGTAGCACGATGACACCCAAAAACCGAGCATTGTCAGTGCTTTTATAGCATTAAACCTGTGATGTAATCAGACAAAATATCAGTGGATGGATTGGATTACCCTGCTCTGCCGACAGATTCTATTAAATCACAGTTTTTATCAATTTCTGAAGACAAAAACAAAGTAAAAAGTTCCTCACGTCCTCTCATGAGGACTTGAGGACACGTTCCAGCTCATGTCCTCTCATGAGCTGGAACGTGGAAGAAGCACCACCTATCACTCTTAGTTAAACTATTTTATAGTATGTTTGTTAGCAGCTGACTGCGAATGGCAGATAGGCTGACAAAATATCCAACTCCTATAAAAAATGGATCAAATTCTGCACAATAACCTCTCAGGAACATAAGCATATCTCTCAAAATAATAAAAAAAAATAACTACACGTAGCTAATACCATCATTATTACTACTAACAATAAGTATGCTACATGATTTAAGCAACTATAAAAATAAATGTGGATGTCCTGCATTATATAGAGGCAGTTAACACCAAGTAATGTGTTGTGTAAATACAGTGAAACTTACTTTTACTCAGCGTTATCGTTTCATGTGAATCTCATACACATGCACAGGTTAAATAGCCAACAAAAGTCTGCCAGCAAAAACTTGTGAGAAGCGCTTCTGCATGTAATTTAACATACAGCAAATAACCTGCAAACGATTGGATTCTGTTTTCCTTCCTAACTCTGAGCTATTAGTTCATGGATTATCGTCTGGCTTCGGTGGAAGAGAAGGAACGGAGAGTTGTTAAAACAAATGAGATTACTCTAATCCCTGTAATATGAAGACTGTGACAACAAACCCACAATTCGGCGCACATTTTCACAAGGCAGCGTGTATTATCTTTCGTTTTATCCCAATACCCGCTTGCAATGGGAGTAATTACACTATTATGATAAGGTGACCTGCCAGCTGACTGTTCTGCCTGTTGATAGTGTTGACGATAGACTCGCTTTTTAAACACAGTTACTGCTAACCTCTCTTTTTTATCTCTTTTTTCTTTCTCTTTTTACAATTTTGTCCAAATCTTTGCCATTTTTATTCAAAGTAAAAGTCTGATCGGTTTGATTTTGGATAGCTTTTCGAACTCTCGACTCCTCTACACATTGACGGGTAACCGTCAACCGGCGAATCTTTTAAAGCAGCGCTTTTTCAACACTTAGCGGGTTCAGGCCCTCGTCCTCCGCAGCAGCAGCAACAGCAGCATCACGCTGGGCGAATTACCGTTATCCGATATAAGCCCTCAGAGAGGAAGTAACTACCTAACACTTTCAAAATTGGTCTATCTTGGACCGGGTTCATTCTAATGAAACACAAGCCGCTTCACCTCGCTCTGTCCCGTGTCAAGTCCTTCCTTTTTTTCCCCCATCGCCACCTTCACCTTTATTTGCGTTTGATTCCTGTTATTCGATCAGCAGACGGCTTCGGGCCAAGCTGATACAGCGATCTCGAACCGCAGGGAAACCTGAACATCATCCCGCAACACCCCTCCCCACCCGCTTGGACTTTCAGCCTTTTCTGTATTAAGAGGAAATATGGAGTGTTGCGCTTTCCCCGTGTTTGGATTCAGCTTGTAACGATGTGAGTAAATGAGAGCGCGGCCCGCAGCACCGGCACAAGGCGCTACCTGTTCTCGTCTGCGACGGGGGAAAAATGGCCAACTATTTCACCCTGTTTGGTTTAATCTGAAAGGAATGCGGTATCCCCTCTGACTCGAGATGGACTCAAACGTATATGTAAAAAAACTGCACTTTCCTGCGAAGGATAATAAAAAAGAGCAGGAGCTGGAGTGGCTCATCCACGAAGTGATTAAATAAGCACACATGAGTTAATTTGATTCATTTCTAGGAATGAATTAAACTGGTATCCAAGTAGCCAAATGTGATCCGTCTACGAGTGTAACTGTTTAAATATTTTTAAATAGTCAAACATTTTACCATTTTAGCCTGTTGTTGCGTGTCTTTTTTAAAGTTTTCATAATCCTTAAACTTTTCCACATTTTGTCCCATTAACACCACAAACTTCATTTGTCTTTGCAAATTGGCTCGAGTTCAGTCAGATAGGACGGCGAGCCCCACTGGGAATGCCGACGTTCCAAGTCTTGCAACAAAATCTTAATCGGATTTAGCTGTGGGAGTTTCTAACGCGTGAATATTCTTTTATCGAAGCGCTTCTGTTGTCGCTTTAAAGCCGTTCAGTGGGGAGGTGAACCTCGGCCCCAGTCCAGTCTTCAGGTTTTCCTCTAGGGATTGTCCTGCGTTTACCTCCATCCGTCTCCACACCTTTTCCGACCATCTTGTTAGATGCGAGTTTCCTCGTCTCACACAAAGTTCTGCATGTAGTTTAGTTTCAGTAGATCTTCACGGCGCTTTCCTCTCGTCGGTTTTCCGTAAAGCCCAGGTTTGCAGTGCTCTGTTGAACTGTTGAATATCTCTCCCACCTGAGCTGAGGATTTCTGCAGCGCCTCCAGAGTCATCATGGGCCTCTTTGCTGCATTCCTGACCTGAGAGTTTATGTTGTCAGATAACAGATTAGAATTGAGCTCAAGGTGATGGTCAGAGCTTAAAATGTTACTTTAAAGTCTATTTCTACCTTTACCTTGAGGCCTTCACAGAACACAGGAGTGTTTATTATGACTCTTAGGGGCAACTGGGCAAATTCTCTACTATTTTTAGAGGAAACATGAGCTGCGTTTCCATTGCAAATGCACGCAAAACTTTTTCGATAGTCTCTTAATGTCGAAAAAACACAATTTAGCAATTGCGGTGTTTCCATGAAATAAGAAATGCAATTAAAATCACACGTGAGTAGGTGATAAAAATGCATGGCGGTGACAGATGTAAACACTTATATGAGGAAAGACCCTGGGAATCGGCAACCTATACAGATCCCTGAGATTTTGGGAGTTTTACAGAAAAGCGACGGCTTCAACACGTTCGAATGTCAAAGTCAGTTTTTGGTGAACTGAGCGATGCTGTGAGACTTCTGGTGGAGCCGTCTGAGCGCTGTCTAGAGAAAACTGGCCTGATGCGGAAAAAGTGTTTCTATCGTAGTTTTGCGAAATACACCAATTTTGACACAGCTCTGAAAAACCACTTCATCCTAGTGCAGGCTTTTATTTTGAAAAACTTGTTTTTTTGGGGGGGGTTTTTTTCCCTTTGTAAATTCAATTTGCGCAACTGAATGGTCAATGGAAATGCAGACCCTATAGTATTTGAGTCTTAATACAAATTACTGCCACACTTTTCAGATTTTGAAAAAAACATTTTCAACTCATATATCTTTTTCCTTCACCATTACTCTGTTTTGGCCCGTCACACAAAATCCTAATTAAATACATTAAAGTCCTGACAAAACATGGAAAACCTCTGTCAGCATTAATACCTTTGCATGGAGCTGAATATGTAGGAGCTCTACTGTAAAGTGTGTATGCTGTGCGAGGGCTTCGAGTGTGTGTGAAGGTGTCTGTCAGGAAGATCTGTCCGCTTGATTAATGCGCTCACTCAAACTGACACCTGGAACCAATCCCCCCCCTTCCCTGGCGAACCCCTCAGCCCGCCCCCATGTGCGC